GGCATACCCGCGTAAGGTCCTGTCCTCGTGCAAAGACGAAAATGCGAGGATGAGTTGTCCATTTTGGTTTTTTAATGAGTAAGAGTAATGGAAAATGTACTGAGAAGTGCTGTTACCCTGCTTGTATGTGCCCAAATTTGCCACGAATTCTGCAGAAACGTTCCAACGTATCGCTAGTCTTGTACTGAGATACTCAAGGTGTAAGATGCCAGTGACTTACAGTATATCTAATGAGTGATGTTCAAAAGAGCGGGAAAGATGCCGAATTAATAAACAGAGTCATCTGGCCCGTTGGAACACGCCACCATGCTTGAAACAAAACTGTCCATTAAAGCACTGTGGCCGTGACCAACTCACAGCTATGGTGGCACAGCAACATGCAGATGTGTATCAACCAAGTCACACAAAATGCCTTTGTATTCCAACTCCCTCGATGCCCTAGCCAACTGGACAAACCCCTGAAGCCGCGATATATATGCACTTTGAACCGTGAATGAGGCCGAGACCAAGCGTTCTACCAAATATTCTACGGGCCCTGGATCTCAAACATGCCCGTCATCAGAGGAATCACCAGAGACAGCGCTGGAGATTTACTTGAATTAATGGCTGACTTAGTAAAGAAAGGTTCCACGCTGCCTCGTCCTCAATTCCTAGCGGATATCGCAGCCGGTGGAGAACCAACAAAGCTGCTAGATGAGACAGGTTTGCTTGTGTCGTTATTGCTAAAACCGCATGTTGACCGTAGCTGTCGAACGGTCCAGGAGGGGTTTGAGGCCGCCAGCGTCGGATCAACACCTCTACTTCGTCCAGTCAGCCATGGATGGCTGAGTATGATTCGGATCCGGCAGAAGGACTTTCTATCTTCAAGGAGTAGCCACATTCGCAGATGTCGTAAAGGTGAAGGAGAAGTGTTGCACAAAGGCCTAGGGAGCGGTAGACAATGACACGAGGTTGAGGATTAAGTCGTATTATAGAGTTCTCACTGTGTCCTAAGCACTCGACGGTGTCGATCAAAATAGGCGACATGGTTATTGTGTCCATGATAGGGGTCTGGATCAATCTGGGAAGCCATGGTTTGGCTGAAATGAGGGAGTTCCGACCGATAGGCTGTGCTAGAGTATAGGAAGAGAGCGTAGGCTGCATCGTAATCATGTGAGATTTTCACAATTCTCAGGCGGTGCAATCCCGTCGCAGCCATGAAAACATCAGGTTCTTTCCGACGTATGATAGGTGACTTCTGGTAGTTTGTCATCAACCCTAGAAATGCGAGGTATCCTTCGGTCCGGATTGAAGCGAACAGTTAAAAAAAACATATACAGTCATTTCGGATATCGAGATTAAACGGTCTCCAAATATGGAAGGTGAAAGTATGACGGAGAATTGCTCCACGTCCATAACAGTGCGCAAAGTGTCTGACATCGTTTGGAAGTTGGTGGGGATAGCGAGTAATTTTTCTGATATTATTATCATAATATCAGGACTTTCCGGCGTCCAAACTTCGTCGTGTCTGAGAGGCGAGCTTGAAGATGAGCGTTCACTAAGTGAAGAAGACGAGGCATGGCTATCGCATTCCTTTGATTTGGCGCGATGTTGCGAAACGACGGCGGAAACCCGCCAATCCCCATGTGGGAAGTCTTCGGCAGAGAGGGTATCTCACGCGCTTAGTGAAATGAGTGGTGGAGCCAATCCTCAGATGGCTACACCTGGTGCATGTCGGACTAGCACCTACATCTCTTCATTCAAGTTGCAGGAGCTGTAGGTCTTCGCCATCTTCTTAGTGCGAATGCGTGAGTAAATCGTAATAGATACCGAGGAGCACTTAGGTAGCAGTCAACTGAATTTCCAGATTGATATCGAAGTTTATGAATTCAGCGAGGTGACCTAGTGAGATCGCCGATTTTTCCCGCTCTCCCCAGGATTTCCCCGTAGCCGGTTGATCCGCGTACGAAATTCCTCTTCGGGCGTTGCAACTTTGTTAATCTTGTGTCTGATCTTGTGAAACATCCAGAATTTTTTTTT